GTTCGATTCCACCAGCATTCACATGTTGAAGTGCCTCTGGGCAAGATACTGAACCCCTCATTTCTTCTGATGTGTGTCCCATCGGTGCATGAACGTGATCTAAAGCACTGATTAGTCTCTACAGTTTCAGATTAGCTTTGTAGAGACCTAGTAGAGTGCTGTATGAATGTGTGTGGAGGTACAGTATTTTTTTGGACTATAAAGTGCACTTAAAATCCTTTAAATTTTTTCAAAAATCGACATTGAGCCTCATAATCAGGTGCGCCTGTGCTTACTGACCTCAAACCGATTTTATGTGGTTATTGTGAATAAGGTGAATAAAGTTTGACTTTTCTATTTTGTTTTGCTTAATGCGCCTTATAATCCGGTGTGCCTTATAGTTTGAAAATTATGATAAATGAAAACACAGATTGTGTTGTAAAGCACTTTGAGTACTTTGATTAGATATAAAGGTGCTATATAAGTACAGTCCAATTACCATTTATTATTTTCTCTTCTTTGAAAGTTATTGTCATTTTATTAATAACTAACAAGTTTCTTCATGGCGCATTGATTTCAGAATGCACATTACGACCTACAGTGTAGATAGTCTGAGTCAGTTGGTTTTGTTGGTGCTGACAGCTGATGGTGGACTTTGTGGCTCTGTCTGGTCGTTCACAGTGAGGCTGAAAGAATAAATGACAGGGTGCTGGATACTGCTGAGCAATCAGACGTGAGCGTCTGGGTTTTCTGTTGGGCCACAGGTGATGAAGCTGTGGTTAGAGATTTCATCCAAAACACAAACGACAGAAGAGAGAGAGAGAACAGGACGACTGTACAACATTTTTCTTTTGACTCATACTGCCTCCAGGTTTTTAGTAATCTGGATCAAACCAGTCTGTTTTTCTCCACTGTTTTCCTTCTGGCTCCTTTTTGTTCAATCGCTCAAACCCTGAATGAAGACTGGGAACACAAGACTCCTCCCAATCTGTCTCCTTCAAACTTTTGGCTTTCACATTTCCGTCAAAGCGTGTTAAGTCTCTCAGTGTGGCTGCGATTTGAATGAAAAGAGCCGGAGAAGGGCCCCTTTCCCATTTTCCTCCTTTTGTCCCGTCGTTCTTTTATTCTGCATTCTTCACACTCTGTGCTGCACGTTACATAAGAGAGCTGCAGAGCACGGAGCAGTCATCTCAACAAACTGCTGTTTGACTGACCAACGTAATTACTCCTTCCTGTCTTGGACATTTTTGAATGTTTTATTAAAACACACTCTAAAACACCAGCACCACAGATCAATTAAATCCCAGTAATGTCTGTAGATTTAATAAACTCAACACATACAGGTTAAAAACCTTACACTTAAAGGCAGATTTTTTTTTTCTTTAGTAAATTTGCCTGGTAAATGTTTCTCTTTTCAAAGTTCAATATCTCTCCATAACACAATTTTTTTGATAACTGTATAAATCTTTAAGTTATTTGTCTCTTATTTTACATGTTTCAACTCTCCACCTTTATTTGGTATATCCTAGTTTAAACTATTTGCATTTACTGTTCTTATAAAAGTAAATTTCCCTTTAGCTTATTAGTTTTCTGATACTAACCAATAACTTGTGGGGTTCCACAGGGGTCAGTGTTGGGCCCAAAAATGTTTAATTTGCATATAAATGACCTATTCAAAGTATCAAACCTGCTAAAATACATTATATTTGTAGATGATACTAGCATTTGCTGCACTGTTGAAAAACATCCAGTTCTCTGAGGTGGTCACAACAGAAATGATAAAACTAAAACATTGGTTCAAAAATAATAAATTATCACTAAATTTAGATAAAACAAAAATTTATGATATTTGGAAACTGCAATAAACATGAAAACAGTGCAATCAAAATAACTATCGATGGTGTTGATTTAGAATGAGTCCATGAAATCAAATTTCTAGGTGTTATATTGGATGATAAATTTTGCTGGAAACAAGAGAGCTGCTAAGTAAGATCTAAACTAGCTAAAAGTGTTGCTGTTTTGAGGAGAATAAGATTTGTTCTGCACTAAAAATCTGTTTATTTTTCATAATACTCTCATTGTACCATGATTGAGTTACTGTGTGAAAGTTTGGGGCAATATATACTGTACAAAGCGAACTTACAGTCGCTGTACACAATACAAAAAAAAAAATCAATCAGAATATTACATAAAGTGTGATATTGGGAACATACAAATCCATTATGTTTGAAATCAAATGTACTTAAATTCTGGGATCTTGTAAATTTCAAAACTATACAATTTATGTTCAAAATAACAAACCGCAAACTTACACACAATATTCAGAAAATGTTTTGTGACAGAAAGGGGGGTTATAATTTAAGAGGAGAAGGAAATTGAAAAAAAAAAAAAACAATGTATCAGAACAACCAAGTGTTTGTGGGGTTCCACAGGGTTCAGTGTTGGGCCCCCAGAATAGTTACATATACTTACAAAAATGTATATCGGTGTGTGGAACAGATCTATGGAATGGATTAAATGATGAGCTCAAACAAAGTACAAATATAAACCAGCTTAACAGTATAAACATCAACTTATTGAAAAACATGTTGTATAAGATGGGTGTCTCAAAGACCAAAAATACTAATGTTAATATCAATAAAATGTAAATAATTGTACATTCAACAATGAGAATGTGAGGTTTAAGCGTCATTTATTGTGTAAGTATTATAAGGTTTGGTGTGAGGAGACTAAAATTATTGTATATTGATGTGTATGACAGGGGCAGGAAATTATAACACTGTAATCTTCTCCCTGCTTCTTTTAGAACAAATTATGTAAAATTGCATGTCAATTGGCATGACTATTTGTCTTATTATATTTTCTTCTTTGTTTTTACATTTTATTGTCTGTTCTTTCTTGTTTTCACTTTTTATTGTCTGTTCGAAATAAATTAAATAAACAAATAAATAAAAACAACCTAACATTTTTCAGTGAATTTTGTTTAAAGAACAAGTAGGTTGTCTCGCTTGTGTCTGATTGATTAAATACACGAAGATAAATTTGTGCAAAACAACAAAAATAATCAGAATAAATCTGGCAAAAGTTTTATTGTTTCCTTTATCAAATAATTTTAATTACTTTAACCAGCCCGGTAAGTTTAGAACTAACAAAAATAAAGAATTTGAGTCAACCATATACAAAGTAAATAAATACAAGTTTTGTATTATTTTGGAAGTTTTTATTAAATTCAATTGTGCAGAAAATAGTTTTCATGTATTTTTTTAATTAAAATTAATCAAGTTACTTTTTGAAGTCTTAAATTTATGTACAATAAGAATATATCATTTGGCAAAGCAAACAAAATGTTTATGTTGTGTAAATTCAGTATAAAATATATATTTTAAGTCTAACACGTGCCCACTAGGTTTTTTTTTTTTGTGCAATACTAAATGTTAGAGTTGTTGTTCATCTTGTGACATATAGAACATATATATTTTTGGTGGAGCAGCTTTTAAAAGGGGATAAAACGTCTTTTAAAATCTCTTTAATCGAGACAGTGAGGTCAGTGAGGCATGAATCCACACAGCCAGAGAGGCTCTAACAGAGTTGGGTTATTTTAGCCTTCCTCGAACAGCACTGTCTTTATTTACCTGCTCCGCAATAAGCTTTTAATTTGAAAGTTAGGTAACAATTACTGAGAAGTCACTTCATGGCAACAAAAGCTTAGCAGCTTAACCTACAGCCGAAGGAACAGGAACTCCATGTGCAGATGGAGAGCTGGGTGTTTGTGCAGCTGCCGTGTCCAGGGTAATAGCAGGAGGCACTCTGACCTTTGACCTCTTCTTCACGTTCATTCTGTTAGATCTGGATGTCTAACGTTGCGTTCAAGGATATCTTGTTTTGTGGGCATTACATTGGTGTGTATAAACTAACCTTTAATAAAGAAACTAGAGGCTTGTTGGCGAAAGCACACTCTAAATTTATTAAATGACCCGTTTCCCCAAAAGTAAAAGAAACTCATTTTAAAATAATCCAGAACGTTTAGGGAGACTTAGGGAGACATGGAGGAGCAGGACTTGGAAGTCACAAGATGAATCAAAGTTAGTACAAATATCACAAGAGAACTTTTGTTTGGCTCTTTTTTTTTTTTTTTTTGTCACTGAAGGTACCATAACGTTCCAGCGTCGGATGAATGTTTGACAGGGGTTTAAGTATCCAGCAGAAAAGTCGTCAGGATTAGGTGCAGGTGGGGAGAGAAGGATGACTGAATGAGAATCAGCTGTGGGAAAAGTGGTTATGGCTGAAAAATGAAGAATCCTACAGACGCAGTATCACACGAACCAGCTTGTGTATGACTTCTGGTTTTGCCGGCCTCCCTGCCTGCAAGCGTCTGTTCTACATTGACTAATGAGCCAATAACTGTGTGCTTCTGTCTCTGGAGTTTTTCTGTATTTGACTTCAAGTCCACCTGCAAGAATTGCATTATCTGTATTTTGTCTTGTGTCTGCAGACATCTCTTTAGAATAAAGGGTTAACTGTTTAAATATGTATTTTGCAAATATTTCGCTCATTATCGTGTTTTTCTTTGTCTTTCTTCCCATATAAACGACACTTAGTCCGGTTATTTTGTGTTTGTCCGCGTCTCTTTCCTGTCCTCTCTGACTCCAGCCTTTCGAGGCAGATGGCTGCCCATCCTGAGCCTAGTTCTGCTGGAAGTTTGTTCCCATTGAAAGGGAGTTTTTCCTTTCCACTGTCGCCAATGTGCTGCTCAGGATGGGACACTGCGACAAAGTGAAGATTCGACACAACCTGCTGGTTTCCCTCCTTAAATAACTTTTAATAACTGGTATTTTATAACGTATGTGAACATTTTACAGATAACACATGATTTCTTTATAAGGAATTTTTCCTGTATCTGTTTTCATCTACAAATGTCAGAAGGCATGACTGAAAATTTAACAAAAACTGAAGTAAAATCTTAATATATTTATATAGAATGGATGAAAAGTCAAACATCATTAAAAAATATCTAAGCAAGCTTCTTCTCATACATTTTTTTACATCTCCAAGGTTACAGTTTGATGAAATTAGGTCCCAGCAGAGAAATCTTCCCCTCTACAGTCCTCCGTCATCCTGCAAAAAGAACAAAAATCACACCTTCACTCATGTTGAGGACAGGAAGCAGATCCCAAACAACGGGAGCATCGAGTTAATGTGTGCGCTCTACATTTGACTGCAGTTTACAAACACCTAACTGTTTTAGCTCATCTTATTATTTTAGACACATGGATTGTGAATCCTTAAAGGCAACTGTTGCCATTTGACTGTACGGTCAACCATGTGCTTAATAAAGTTTAATCTTCAAGCTGTGCAGACATGTTTCTGTTCAAAAGGACATGTGGATTTTAACTTTTTCCATGTGTTTACAAGTTGTGAGTTTATTCATTTAATTGTCATTGAGAATTCACCAGTTTGTCCTTTAATCAGTGGCGGCTGGTCAATAGGGGGCGCTAGGGCGCCGCCCCACCACTTAAACAACTCACCATTACCTTGAAGACAGAAAAAATTAAATAAAAATGAAATAATAAAGTAAAAACATTTTGAAATATATGTTGTTGTTTTTGTGTGTGTAAGATAAATATTTTATCGTTAATGATGAGTTAAGTTGTTTTTTTCAAAAACGTTGTATCTGATTGATGACGTATTTCTGCACTGGGGGCGCAAGAATCTTTGCCCATAGACTCTTGTTAAAAGTTGGACATGCGCACTACCTTCTCTTCAACACAAGAGAATAGGACCATTCTGGGCGCTCCTCTCCTGCGCCCTGAATACGGATGCACAATACGGATCGTGATTCTGGTCCTGGTGTCATCAGAACAGATTTTTTTTTTTGTCCTGGTCCTGGAACAGATCGTGACTGTAATACTTCTTTAACTGTTGCATTTGTTTTTGAGATTAGACACACGTTTTGATTGGTGTTGAATACCAACCCTTGTGTTTGTTTGTTCATATCCTAGAATGATCCTTGAAAGAAAGCCTTCTAGCATTGCTAGAAATATGTTTTTACACAAAAATGACCATTTATGATTTGCACCCTCAAATACTTACTGAAGTGTTAACCTTTGAAAAGAACAAACGCATTATGAGAAGAGATGGACTGAATGGTGTCAGTTCGTGACATGTCACGTCTTCTATTCAGAGACTTCGTTGTTTTGTTTTTTTGTGTTAGAGCATGACATCTTATTGTCATTCTAGTGATTGTTAAGTAGCATGTTATTGAAACAAAATCATATACATGTATATACATCTTCTGCTTGAATAAATAATGCCGACAATGGTTGTAGTCTGTTAGCCGTGGGCTAACTGCTAAGCTAACTAGCTTTGTTTAAATAAACCGGGCAGGCTGTAGGCTATTTATACTTTTTAAAACAAAATAGTCAAATGAAACGTACATCTTTTTTAGTTTCGTCCTTGTCAACTACAAAATTCTTTAAAAAAATGAATTGTCTTTTCTTTGGTATAATGTTTATGTAATTACGGTATTTTGTTGCGCCTAGGGCAGCACGGTGGCGCAACTGGTAGAGCTGCTGCCTCTCAGCGAGCAGGTCCTTGGTTCAAACCCCGGTCCAGGGGCCTTTCTGGGTGGAGTTTGCATGTTCTCTCTGTGCATGCGTGGGTTTTCTCCGGGTGCTCCGGTTTCCTCCCACAGTCCAAAAACATGCATGTTAGGCTGATTGGTGACTCTAAATTGTCCCTAGGTGTGAGTGAGAGAGTGAATGGTTGTTTGTCTCGTTTGTCTCTATGTGTCCCTGTGATGGACTTGCGACCTATCCAGGGTGTCCCCCGCCCCTCGCACAGTGATTGCTGGACATGGGCACCAGCGATCCCCGTGACCCAAAATGGAATAAGCGGGTAAAGATAATGGATGGATGGATGGATGTTGCGCCTAGGTTAGGCTCCTGTATGTTTTGTGCATTTGCAAGTTATATTAATTTTTTTAAAGTGTAACAAGGGTACAGGTAAAGAAAGTTACATTTTTCCTATTTTAAAAGTTGTCTTCGTCGACTTTTGTGCTTTTCTTACAGGCAACGTCTACAAACAAAATAAGTTAAGCATAAAAGTAAGAAGCAAATTCAAGCATATATTTCCTATTTTGGCTTTATTACAGTTTGCCACTTCCATAAATCTAATCTTAATTGCTATTAAACAATTTATTCCTCACAAGTTTAGGCTAATATGTCATCAAACTAATCTGATTGGATGAGTAATGATGTAAAAGTTTTGGTGTCTGACTGTTTAGAATATTTTGGAACGTGCAGATGTAAAATTAAGAAAGATTTGTTTTTGTTTTTATTAAGATTTACTCGCTCACACTTTTATTGTGTAGTAACAAATTTTATCCTTTTAGTCTGATCCGTTTTGCTGAAGGAGTTTATACACGCTGTTGCTTCAAGCCTGTTTCCAAAAAGTTTGACTCTAAATTCAAACTGAAGAGCCCTTTTCTTGTTCGGTTGCACAACTGCCCCGTATCGGTCATTTTACCAACTTCCTTGCACACAAAACATAATCAGCACAGGATGAAAACAATCTGAAAGCTCTCTTTCCTCTATTTCCTGTTTCCCAACAGTGTCAGCTTTGAAAAGAGTTTACAATTGCTCTAAAAAACATAAAATCACCAAAGTGGCATTGTTTCACGTTCATGCTGATATGTCTTATAGTTGATCTGTGTGTGTGTGTATATGTATATATATATATGTATATATATATATATATATAAATATACACAGTATATATATGTTTAAACTCATTTGAAGTGTTTTCATGTGTAAACTTGTTCACCTACATCATTACTTTCCCGACAGTCTCCACAGATGCATCCTATGCAGCCGTTGACCACCTGGATGCCACAGAGCACCGCCTGCAGAGCGCCCATGCTCAGGAGGATGGAGAAGAGCACAACGTGCCACATCACCACGTTCTCGGGGTATTCGCAGGTTGACCACAGAGTCTGGTTTACCAGGTAGCTGGTGTTACCGCTGGGAAGGAGAACAGAGAGTCACCGTTCAGGACACAGCACTGATTATTCCATGAGTGCAACAGGCAAAGTCTGGGGTGGCAGAAAAAAATGTAAATAATTGGAGAAGTGAAAAATTGTCAGTAAGAAGAGAAATGAAACAAAAAAGGAGGAGAAAGAAAAACATCTCTAAGCTCATGCCTTTCATAAAGTTAAACTAGTGAAGAAGGAGATGATAAAACAGATGAGCCTCAAAGAGTTGACACTTTTTACATGCTCTCACGCCTCGGGATTGTTTTGTTTTTAATTCAGTGAAAGTCAAAACTCAAGTCCAGACAAGTAGAGTCATCATACCACACAGATTCAGACTTCTCACGGGGAAAATGAGACCCCAAAAAAATACACTTTTTAAATTGTCCATTATCTTCCGTTACGTTAAAGCTTCAGTACAGAGTTTATGCTCAGGGGATCAAGTTTGATTAAACATTCACTTTTCAGGAGTTTAATAGTGTGAATGTTCATGAAGCATTCACACTATTGTGATCCATTTGTCTTCCGTAGGTTGTTTGGCGCGTTTCTCATCCCAGAGTTTTCAAGCTGTTTCAACAAGTCATCAATTAAAACATTCATTCTGATATGGCTTTTGTTATTGGTGCAACTTTGAAATATTTAGCCTTTTCTGACACTTTTCTTTTCCTCATAGAAAATTAACTGGGCTCATTTTACAACCTTTCACTGCTCCTTTCACATTTTGTTCTGGTTCAGCTTCTTTTAGCTTCCTTGCGCAAATTTAAACTTTTTTTTGGCTACTTTCAGCTAAGTTCAGCTGTTTTTTCAGCTGTTTTATGCTCCTTTCAGATTCTTTCTGCTAACTACAACACTTTTTTGCTTCTTCTAACTTCTTTCTTTTAATTTCAGCTTTTTATGCTCCTTTCAGCTTATTTCTGCAAGTTTCAGCTTTTTCTACTATTTCAGCTGCTACGTAGCTGTTTTATGCTAATTTAAGCTTTTTCAGCTAATTCCACATTTTTTGGACTCGTTTAAACCTTTTTCAGCCAAAATTAGGAAAAATGTGCTCTCTCCACTTCCTTCTTTTAATTTTAGCTTCTTTCTGCTTTTTTAGCTACTTTAGAGCTGGGTTTTTTGGGATAATTGTAGCTGTTTTCCAGATAGTTTCTACGTTTTGTGCTCATTTCTGCTTATTTCAGACAAATTTAGCAAATGTGTTGTTTCTGCTTTCTTCTGCTAATTTAAGCTTCTTGTATATTTTCAGTTATCGTTTTAGCTTCTTTTTTAATGCTATTTTCAGCTGTTTTCAGATAAATTCAAGTTTTTCTTGGTAATTTCTGCTACTTTCAGCCTAATTACCTTCTTTCTGTTAATTTTAGCTTGTTATGCTTTTTTCAGCTAGTTTCATAATTTTTTTTGCTATTTTAGCTACTTTACTTTAGCTGTTTATGCAATTTTTAGCTTTTTCAGCTAATTCCACATTTTTAAGCTAATTTCAGCTCTTTCCACTTCCCTCATAGGTTAAGCTTCTTTCTGCCTTTTCAACTATGTTTTAGATTTTTTTTTTTGCTAATTTTATTTTTATTTAGCTGATTTCTAAATTTTTGTGCTCAGTTCTGCTTATTTAAACCTGCTTCAGAAAATATGTGTTCTTTCTGCTTTCTTCTGCTAATTGGTGTGAATGCACCCTGGTTGCTCTTTCATTTCAGCTGCATTTCAGTCTATTTTTTTTATTTTTAAAGATAATTTCAGCTGTTTTTCAGCAAGTTCATCTGCAATAAGCATTCAATCTGCATTTTAGCAGGAAATGCAACTTCTCTTGTTCAGATTTGCACCAGTTCACAACAAAAATTGCATTCACAAGTTTATATACATTCAAAATGAGCATGACTGTTATGCTCACTTTGTCTGTTTAAAGAGTTATTAGGACCTGTCTTTTCCAGGGTTGAATTTGTCGTAGATTATCTCTAATCTAACAGAATCAAAATTATTCATGAAAGCTCACGATTTGTACAAACATCCTCATTAATTAAACACAGTCTTTGTTGAACCACCATCCAGTGTCTGGTTAATTCTGGCTGCATGTTGACCTCTGCTTGTGGCCGAGGTCATTTAAACCGGATGGTTTTACGGCAACGGATCATGAAGTTGAGTCCACACGTTTTTAATAAGGTTGAAGTCAGGGCTTGGTGAGGTCCTTCCAGAAGCTTGATGTTAACCTGATTATCCCATCAGAAACTTTCTGGTGGGTGTTTAATTCCCTTGTCTTGTTGGAACACCATCTGTGTCCATGTTTCAACGTGATCTGAGGTGAAGTTGAAGAACTTGGAGGTAGCTCCTCTCCTTATTACTCCATCCATTTTTGTGCAATGCACCAATACCACAGCATCCTGATACCTCTGCCGTGCTTGACAGGTGGTATAGCTTCTTGTCATCGTTGTCAAATACTCAATCTTTGTCTCGTCCGACTATAAAACTTTTCTCCACAAAGCATTTGGCTTTTTCCCTCAAGCTTTAAGATGTGGCTTTTGAAGCAGGAGCATCTTTCTTTGTTAGCACCACCTCAAACATGAGCTGGTTTCTTTGTAGACTCTAACACTCGTCCAGCAGTTTCCAGTTCTTGGTATAGAGTTGAGCCTTTGTGGATCCTGGGATCAGCTACTTTATTAGTAAAGAAAGTGATAGTTTGGGTCTTCTTCTAGAGCCTGGTGAGGTGATGACACATCTGAATAACTTCTGGAGACAAATGAGCATGGAAGCTAAAATTTTAACCAAATTTCCAGCTTGTGTAAATCAATAATTCTCCTTGATTCAAAAAAATAAATAAATAATGAGCATTTAAGGAAATAATATGACAAGAACAAAACAAAAAAGCATCATTTGGTAACAAGATTTAGGAAAATTCAAACAGTCCAGCTGAAAAGAAACCCTTGGTTTAGTCAGCCTCTTAGTGGATAATTAGGATATTGCAGTTACTTCTATGTATATTTTTATAAATTAATACCTACGTGTCAAAGTTAAGGCCCTCGGGTCAGATACAGGCCTCGTTATATTTGTATCTGGCCTGCGAGATAATGTTTTAAATGTATTAAAACAGAAGTGCAAGGCTGTGACAAACATTGCTTCTCATTGTGCTCAACAGCTGAGAACAGCTCGTGTGAACTTCTCATAGAAACAAACCAACTTTGAAGCTGAGTTTTTTTTAATAATCTTATTTGTTATCATGGAAATCACAACCAAGAACATCCAAACTGGACCAGTCAAACTATTACTGATGAACCACAGTCAAGAAAAAAAAAGTTCAACAGACTCTGCTTAATCAAATATTGCATTTTTTTTTTTTAATTATCTCATTATTTTAAAGTAGATTGCAAACTGCTAATAAAACGCAAGGCATAAGAAATTAATGATGTATTTGTTATCATGTTTTGGGAAAAGATCAAATTTCTATACGAAAGAATTGAAATATTACATTTTAAAAACACGGTCAGGTTACCATATTTTTCCAACTATAAGTCGCACTTAAAATCCTGTAATTTTCTCTAAAATCGACAGTGAGACTTATAATCTGGTGCACCTTATGTGTTAATTCTGGTTGTGATTACTGACCTCTAACTGATCTTATTTGGTACACGGAGCTCAAAAATCAGTCAAAATGTTTTAGTTTCGCTTAATGCGCCTTATAATCCAAAAAATATATATTCTTTCATAAATATGAACTAGATTGGTTCGTTTTTCTGACCAAGTTTTTATTTTAATTTAGTAACTGAGCCCTGCCTCACACTGTTCTCAGACTGACGATAAATCTATCAGAAGGAGTAAAAAAAGGAGGAAGAGCGAAAAGACGAGTCACAGTCAGAGCTGCTGCTTTGATTTGGTATCATCCTTAAAGCATCTTTAGAGAAAAATCAAACATGCGTTGATGGGAGGGACACTCACGTCCCCGTGTTCTCAAATGGGTATATCCACTTTTCATCCACAAGACATTTGGGTCCGATGGCCAAACCGGCCGAGGCCACGCTGATGCAGTAAATGGCTCCGACGAGGCCGAAGGCGGAGGAGAAGACCGAGTTCAGCATCTGACAAGAGGAATCAAATAATCACGGCACAAGAAAACATGTAGAAGTGATTCATACTTTAACGTATTGCTAAAATAACCGGACATCTCTGGCAGCAGTTAGTAGGCTCGGTTTCCTGCCGCACATTTAAATAATTAAATAAACAGCTTAATCAATGCTGCTGTGAAAACAAACAGCTTCACCTGCTGACAAAACTCTGATTTTACCATGAAAACTGTAAAAAAAATATTATTTCCAGTGTCCCTACTTCGCAGTTCCACTTTTGCGGACTTTCTCTTTTGCGTTTGTTCAAAGTAAGATTGTAAATGACAAAAAAATAAATAAACAAACAAAAAATAAAGATTGTACACGACACACGATTGTCAACTTTAACATTACTCACGTGATTGGGACTGTACGGGATACAGTAAGAAGTTAGCGGAAAAGAAAATACTTTGGATAGGTGCCGCCATTTTATAGTTTTCTTTTAATAAGCCTACACTGTATCACCAGTCAAAAGAACTACCGTATTTTTCGCTGTATAAGTCGTGGTTTTATAAATAATTTGCATGCCCTGTGACTTATAGGCCGAAGCAAAGTATTAATGGATTTTTTCCCATATTTATAAACCAATTTTTGGCTGAGATATGACAATTTTCATTCATTCTGACCGAAAAAGAATGAACAGTACCATTTTCAGCCACTAGATGGCAGCAGAGCAGTAAGACATGCCGTTGTTTCATGTAATGGGGTTAAACTCAAAGCAGTCTGCTCCTCAGATAAATAATGCTATATTATTATTTTTAAATATGAATGTTTCTGTTAACTTATTTTATATATAAATGTTTCTGTTCAGTGCCCTGAGACGACTTCTGTTGTGACTTGGCGCTATATAACTAAACTGAATTGAATTGATAGGTAAAAGTGGCTATTAATGACACAATTGGCTTGCCGTAACCTGCCGCCGTCGTCCCGAATCAGTTTCATTTCGCTGCGACATCCCGGCGCAATGCAGCTGATTTGACCATGAAAGTGAATTTATTAAGCAAACGTTAGACTGAGACACACATTTACTATAATTTTGAGCAAACAAATAATTGTTTTTAAGTGTTAATCTTGTTAAAGTCCTCCCGTGCACACTCCTGCAGCTGCCATTTGGCAGACAATCGATTTTTGGCACAACATTTCTGGGTTGTCAGCGGTGATGCGTAGCAAACATGACGAGTCATGACTGTGACGCATAATAGATGCGACGTATGCGACGAAGCAACTTATTTATGGGGTTTTCCACTTTTTTAGACTAATTTGGACGGATGCAACTTGTACGGCAGAAAATACGGTACATTACCCAGAAGCCAGCAGTGCTTCCGGCTGTTGCTTTCTTCTGAAATGCAGGGATAGTTTTGATCTGATCTGAAAAAGTTTGGTCCTTATTCATAGTCCGGAACGCAACCCTGTGATAGACGAGGGACTAATGTGCACAAAGTGTCATAACGGTACAGAAGTGGTGACGCCATATTAGCTCAGTCGAAGTGGTAATATTAGTAATATGTCACTTTATCTAAACAGGTTTCAGAAGCTGTGTGGATTCATTTGCTGGTTTCAAATGGCCCTGAGGTAAATCTTCCATGTTACAACTGGTCCTCTCCAGCTGGTATTCAAGCAACGACCAACAGTATCATAAATTTAGAAAATGTGAACTGGTAGAAAACTAATTTCCAAACAGCTCATCCTGTTTAAAAAAAAAAACGCTGCTCAGGTTTTCAGACCGAACGGCTCTACGGCTTCAATGACACGTTTAGTTCCTGATTAAAAAAAGGAGACGTCACACGGATCGGATGTGTGATGAAGTTTCACTTCTTCAAAACACTCGGCAAAACCTCAGAAAGCTTCAAAGGTTATTTTAAAGAGATATTTTTTAACAGCGGGGGTTACGTGGGAAAGTTGTAAACAAGTAATATCTTACCTGTTGTAGATAACTCTTAGAGCAATCTTAGGTTGGAGGGGAAAGTGTAATTTTTCTATTTATTTCTTTAAGTTTTTGAGCATTTTTCCATTATAAATAATAATAATAATAATAATAATAATAATAATAATAATAATAATAAATGTTATAGGCGCATTTAAAAAAACAAGGTCACCTTATAAAACATGAATAAAACAAAAAACATCTGTCTACCCATTTTCCCATCTGTCCGTATCTATCCATCTGTCCATCCATCTGTCCATCCATCTTTTTATCTATCTATCTATCTATCTATCTATCTATCTATCTATCTATCTATCTATCTATCTATCTATCTATCTATCTATCTATCTATCTATCTATCTATCTATCTATCTATCTATCTATCTATCTATCTATCTATCTATCTATCTATCTATCTATCTATCTATCTATCTATCTATCTATCTATCTATCTATCTATCTATC